ATAATGATATAAAATAAGGAAAACATTAACACATAAAAAAGAAAGGCTTTTGTGAATAAATAAGATTATGATACAGACGTCAGTTGTAAATAAAGCAGGAGGACATATTTCTTTAAAGTTTTGTTCTTTTAGATGTCTGAGAGTAGTTTGTTTAAAGTTAAGGAACTTTTTTTCAGTCTGAACAAAACGTGTGTTTTTGTGCGTTTATGAGTGAGTCCATCCCTCAGTGAGTGACCTCTTGATGGCACTCTGCATCGCCAAGAATGTCGCTGGATTCTGGGAGCTTCTTCCCGTTCCACGACGAGACACACCAGCAACGAGCCGGGGGCCCGACCAGAGACGACTCGCACTGAAACACAAAGGCGCATGAGTCACCTGGAAACTGAGGACTAATCTCTCTAAATTAGTTGGGGTCTAGTTTAGTTTTGGGGAAAAAGTTAAACATTTCTCACCTGCTTGGCCTTGTAGAAGCCATGCTTGTCACAGTTGGGGAGGTAAAAGGTTGTGAACTTGTCGCCTAGTAACTGTTGAGAGCTGGCTATCCTGTCCAGTGCTGCGTGCAGCTCAACGTGACAGGGACCCTTTGCAAAACAGAAGCAGAACTGCATGTTAATTAATATACCACATGATCTTTTTCCTTTAAACAATCAATGCTTCTAGATTCATGCACTCCCTCTTGTGGAAACAGTGCTGAATTACTTCTTACACAATCTGATGTCATATCGGTTCATACCTGCTGCACCAGTTTGTTGCGGATGGCGTTGACCTTGGCTTTGATGCTCTCCTGACCCTCAGCAGGATCTTGGGGATCAGAAGGAAGATTAAGTCCCAACAAGTAGTGCAGGGAGCCATGATCCGGGACTTCGTCACCCTCCCCTGTAGAGATTTTGAAAAAATGTTCATTGTAAAATAAAATCCTAATTGTAATGTGGGAAAAAAAAATAGCATAAATGAAAGAATCACTGAAGCTACCTTGGCCCAAGTCTTCAGTGCAGATTCCCTGTCCTCTGATCAGAGCGTGGAGTGGTCTGGCCTCACCTGGCCTGGGAGTGCAGTGGAGGCCCTCGCCACAGTGGGCTGTGTGAACGCCACAGGAAGCACCTTTCTCAAGTGCGCAGGTCATGCAGCAGCCGCAGCCGGGTTCTCTCAGCACTTGCTTGCAATCCAGTGGGACTGCAGGACAGTTGTTCAGCTTCTGTTGCGTGCAGGGGGAACAGCGGATGGGTTCAGGTCCCACCACTGGGGTCGACCTTACCACAGCCAGCACAGCGAGAACCACTGCAGCCCCAAACCTCAGGGTTTTATAGAATCCAAGCATTTTTTTAGTCTACAATTTTCTTTAAAATCTTCGTTGGTCTTGCCTCGTAAACCTGTTCTCTGTGACTGGAGAGTTTCTTCTAAAGAGATTTCCATGAACCAGCCGTATTTGTACGATGAGCTGACCTCAAAACGGTTAATGATTGACACCGTGACCAGAGATATAAAATATTTTTGACAAAGCTATTCCAAACAGTGGGTGACCCCGTTTGATGTGCGTAGATCCACGATCACAAGGTCAGTCGTCAATATTGACTCGGGAACATAAAGAGATTGTAGATCAAAACAACTTTGTTTTCGGATGACAAAATCAGCCCACATCTCCACAACTCATGTTGTGAAAGGAATTTTAATGGAGCTGCTGCTTACTACAGTAATGAGTGATAAATATTCACTACCAGAACATTCAGACCATTTTAAAATGCATTTATTATATTGAGTAATGCTAACGGATGAATCTCAGACATTGTTTTTGATAATAAAATCCTATTTTTCCCCCTTTAGACATGTTGCTTCCCTTATCATGTTGACAGATAAAATGAATCATTCCTATCGACGTGTACAACGCTAACATTGTGGATTTGTCTGCTAGATTCACAACATGTTTGTCTACAAAAAAAGGACAGTAATTGAATGTTTCCCTGGTGTAGTATTTGTCATAAATATCTGACAAATGCCAGAAGTGTGACGTGCAAGCCAGCTCCACTTATCTCATGCTGCGCTCTCCACACGGCCCCAGGCATTTCATTGTGATAGGACTGAAGTACAAAAAGCTATGATATCTCAAGCTTCTCTTTAGTTCAAAAGATTTCTACTACAAACAGTAGTAAAAATGACATACGTTCTTATAAATCCATGTACTCTAATAAAAAGGATGGAGCAGGAGATTCTGGGTGGTGTTCCCAATAAATTTATGAAGTCAAAGCGGATCCATACACAATATCAAGAATAGCTACTCATAACCCACAATTTGGAAGAGTATACTTTGGTTCAGTTCACATAGCTGATGGTAGTTTCTGAAGGTCTACATAAACTTCCATGACAGGAAGATGGTGGTCAGTTAACAGGTTGAGTGGATAAATTCACACCAAAAACAATTCAAGTCCAAATACTGTCATCTTTCAGTGCCAGAACACCTACAAATCCAACAA